GCCCGCCAGCAGCTGGAGCGACAAAACAAGGTCTCGTAGACTTGAAGCTTATTACGGTGTTTATCTTTCTCATTTCCCTTCTGTTTACACCCTCCTGTACTACAAGCTGTTCTCTTTTTCATTCCCACACATCATCTCATGTTTTTGTTTCTTTGTTTTTAAGCATTTCACCTCTCTTTAGTACATGTGAGCCCAGCCCGGGAGCTGCCACCAGTCTCCTCTGAGGCCTAAACCACAGCCTAAACTCTATTCTTCCACCATCTGCCATTATCTACTAGAAATCCTGTCAAAAAATCTGAATGTAGATTCCTTCCTTCACATTTCTAAAGCTGGATAGGAGTCTTTGCCAGGACGATTCTGGCCCCCAGGCCTTATGTTTGACACCCCTGATCTATACTAGAGGCAGCAGATCAGGACACGAGCATTTCGTTTTTGGGGGTTCAGTAGCACAATGTGATCCCCCAGATTCAGTTTCCCTGACCCGCAGCTCTGCTGTAACTCTGCTGCAGAGTGTACGTTACAGATGCACCAGCGGGATCAGGAGATACGCGAGAACATGATCCTTCAGGTGCATGAACAGGACCTCCTGATCACAACTCTAAACTAACAAACTGAATATTTGTTCTGTTACCATGAACACAGGAGCTGAAGTCCAAGCTGGCAGAGCTGGAGGGGGCTGTCAAGTCAAAGTTTAAGGCGTCCATCACTGCTCTGGAAGCCAAAATCCTGCAGCTGGAAGAGCAGCTGGAGCAGGAAGCCAAGTAATCCAGATGTTAAAGAGCAGATTTTAGATCCTTTTGAGTAGACTACGATAATTTGGTCATGTTTACCTTTTCTGCTATTAAACCTCCAGGGAGAGAGCGGCAGCCAACAAAATCGTCCGACGTACAGAGAAGAAACTGAAGGAGGTGATGATGCAGGTGGAGGACGAGCGTCGTCATGCCGACCAGTACAAGGAGCAGGTACGGACACACAGGAAATGATTAGGCTTTGCTCCGTCTGCATTCACACTGCCGGTTTTCTACAACTTCTCACCCTCCATCTGTGCGTCAGATGGAGAAGGCGAACTCTCGCATGAAGCAGCTGAAGCGTCAATTGGAGGAGGCGGAGGAGGAGGCCACTAGAGCAAATGCCGCTCGCAGGAAGCTGCAGAGGGAGCTGGACGATGCCACCGAGGCCAGCGAGGGTCTCACCCGAGAGGTCACCTCACTGAAGAACCGCCTCAGGTACAAAGAGGACGGCGATTAACCGGTTTTAAAAATAACCCAGAACCTGAACTAGATACCGAAACAGGGCAGAGATAAAAAACACAGAGTGGAAACAGCCTGACCCAGTAATAATCGTGATCATTATTACTGGGTCAGGCTGTTTGCCAAATAGTTTTGATCATTTAACTTATTATTCATTTTAAGAATCTGCTAAACTCACTTCACCAATCCTCCCAGCACACCATCATCTTGTTGACAGCTCTCATTCCTGCATGTCATTCCTCCAATATGGTGATGGAGCCGGGAGGCGATTGAGTAAATGGATTGGTACTTATAGATCACATTTCTACTCTATTTTAGCACTCTCTGCCACAAGTCTAATTCAACCTTCTTCCAACCATCCACACTGATGGACACTTCGGGGGAAACTCGGGTCCAGGGTCTTGCCCGTGGATACCTCATCACACAGACTGGAGGAGCCAGGGAGGCTCCTGTCTGACTAAACTGTAGTCAGACAACTATGTGATCTCATTTAGTTAATATTACTGCAGCTCTTTCACTTTGTTCAGGTACACAGTGCCAGTGATTACACTGGTACTGTTACCAGACTGGTCAGTCTTAAGGTTTTGAAGCTGTGGCTTTCATTGCAGTGTGTTTACAGTCTGCTCCATCCTCCATCATAATGAATGAAAATGCAGTTAAATGTGATGTTATGTTATGTTAGCATGTAGTTGTGTGAGCAGCGGTCACAGTTTCACTTTTGTAGTTGATCTTAGCGCCCGCTGGAGCTCCTGAGAACCGCGTATGTCTTTCAAAATAACAGTTTTTCTGCGTTTAAGCCAATCACATCACCTCCCGGCTCTTCTTCCACCACAGTGGTATCTCGTCATCCCACAATCTATGTTTTCTGAAATGTTGGAGGTTTAAAGCTTTCTTCCGTTTGTTCTGCCCAGGCGTGGCGGTCCAGTCAGCAGCTTCTCCTCTGGCCGCTCAGGCCGGCGCAACCTCAACTTGGACGGCGCATCCGTCGACATGTCAGATGACGACGCAGACAGCCGCTCCGGCGACTTTAACGAGACGCCAAACACCAACGTCGAGTAACCGCAGCAGCGACTGCCTCTTTCCTCACCCCACCCTTTTCCCCCAACTGTGTCTCCCCCACCCCCAAAGTCCACATGGACTCATCTCAAACCACTCAGAAGATCAGAGCGATGAGAGGTTTCTATTCAAGCTGGGCGGAGCATGCCTGGCAGCCCTTTTTTTCCATCCGTCACATCTGCAGGGAAAATCCACCACCCTCCTCAAAGAACGCCTCCAATCCGGAGTGCCACGGGACAAACGGACACTTCTGCCTTACTCCGTTCTCCTCTGACAAGCTGCTAGTCCTGGCTCGTCCGTCAGCATCATCTCAGCATCATAACCCTTACACCTGTCCCGTCCCATCAGAAATCATCAGCTCTGCTTTTTAGGTACAAAGTGCTTTTTATACAAACAAAACTCTGCGTGTAGGCAAAGGTTGTGAGGTGTGCGCACATCACGTCCGTCATGTGACCGCAACTCATACTGAAAATGCAGGACTACAAGGAAAAGTGTCTGACTCTGGTGTTTTAAGTGTTCTGCTCACTCGTCATGCAAAAGCCATCTCTCACCTGACACGCTCCCTCCATCCAGTGTTCTGAATGACTAAAACCTAAAAGCCCACACAAACCAAGGTCACTGTGGCCTCCGGACGGCAGCGCCGGCTGCTTTTGTTGCATGAGTCTCTTTCTGACGATGTTTCTTTTTCGGCTTTTACACTGCAGCACTTATGGGAACAACTAACATCTCGGGACATGCAATAGAAAAACACAGACTCTCAAGTGAAAGTATATTACTGTGAAAACAAACAAAAAAAGAGGTATTATATTTTCTCTGTGGCTTCATCTCAACATGTAATAAAAGAATGTCTCGCTGGGTTTTAACTGGTTATCTAAAGCTAACGACCTGTCCTGTGGATTGGCCCGAGCCGCGAATGATGCACCAATGCTGGAACATGCACAGAACTGCACAGAGAATTCAAACTTAAAGCCAACAAAGAGGAAAGAAGCTCAAACCGGAAACACTAAAGCTGCACTCAGTACGACACTAAATGGTTGTAATCACGTGCTCCGATTAGACGTGAAGATTAAAACTAGTCACCTTATCACCACATTTACAGTGTTTGTGCTCAGCCTTGCTTTGTATTACCTTTAAATTGACTTTATGCTATGATTTGGTAAAACATATACTGTAAATAAAACTGAAAAATTCAAGATCGCAGACGTCAACATTCAGCAAGCATTAGCTTTTCTCTGATCTTTAAGAAGCAAAGGTGTGATTTAACAACACTCGACTGCTGTTACTGAAACACTCACTGTCAGCTGGATGGAGAAATATTAACATTTTTAAGCCAGCACGGACAAAAAGTCTCAAGTGCCTGAGACAGATGTTCGTCTGCCTGGGCCAGCCCAAAAACCTCATCTCTCTATAGCGTCACAGGTCAGCCCCGGGGTCTCCTCCAGGAGGACAAGCCCAGAACACCTCAGCTGGCTTCTTTATACGTGGAGGAGGAGAGAGCTCATCTGAGAATCTAATATAGGCCAAATGTGGGCAAAAGTCCCATAAAGATGGCAGCAGGAAGCTTGGTTGACATGTAACCCTGAGTATTAATGTCGCCTATATTAAATATGTGAATGAAACAGGCATTACAGGCTGCTTTCAGCTCAAGACAAGTTTAAAAGTGTAGATGGAGTTGGAACAGAATCTGACTCTGTAGTCTACACTCCTCTCTGTATTGCAATGGTTAAGTTGCATTGTGGGTAATGTAGGCACCATGAGGAGTAATGGTGGTTTTAGTGCATCAGTTTGGGTCCATTTATTTTAAAGACATCAGTCGAGTTCCCCTTAAATACTTCTTGTCTGCACTGGTTTGTAATTTCAAATAAAAACAGATCTCAAAAGTTTAAAGAAAATATTTTTCTTTCTTCAGCAAGATGATTAACAGAGTGTGCTGAAAAAACCCTCAGAACATCAGTGAAACACAAATCAGCAGATACAAACTATATTTTGCGACTTTAATCCCAAATCAAGACTTCTGACAGATCTGATCAAGCACTTGTTCTTCGTTCATTACAGGTTGTCTGAATTCAAGGGTTTTTTTTCCTTAGTTCTGCTTTATCTCCAGCAGCCTCCACAGTGTGAAAACCACACGCCAGGGCTCCCATATCCACCACCTGTGCCCATTAATGGCAGACTCCTGTGCCCCCTCCCTCCTCAAACGTCAACACTAAACAGTATGTTTCTTTAAAAGTGCCTTAGACACTAAATAAGAACATAAGCGGGCAAAGCTTCCTCACAGAGGTAACAGGTACATCAAGAAGAAGATACTCAACACTTCATTTTGCTTTCTTTTCTTTTGTATTGTCGCCGTGCTTTGTATCATCATATCCACCGTGTACCTCTGCGTTTGTAATATCAGCCTAGCTAGAGCGTGTGGGTCAGAGTCAGTATTACAGTATTATGATTAAACTAACACGAGAAGCAGAGCCCTCTGCGGCCTCATTTCCCCACGTTACTCTCATGCTAAGCTCGTTTCTCCTCCTCAGGCGAAGGCTTAGCACATTACTGTGGGAACTGATGCGCTGCACAGGATGCAATTTGGTTGGAAGCTTTAACATTCACTAGTAGTCAACTCTGTTTTCTTTTATTATTATTATTATTATTATTATTATTATTATTATTATTATTATTATTATTATTACCACCACCACCCAGCTGGCTGTTGACAACCAGGCGTTCAACTGCAAATACTCTCATCATTGTTATTTCTTGTATACCTGTATTTCTAGACGGTGATTTTTTTGTTTTTGTAAAAGGAAAATAAAGCATATTCATTGTAACTGTTACTCTGCTCTTGTATTTTCTGTCTCCTTTTTAACAAACTGGTTATTTTTAGGCTTGTGTCATTAACCCTTTAGCGCTCCGGTCAACCAATTGGTAGAGCACATTTTCAGGCCCTATATCTAACTGAGGCTTTCACTGAAATTGACCTACCTTGTTGAGTCTTTTCTACCAATTGGTTTTTCAGCTGTAATGCCAAAGAAATCCACCAGAAGGCACTGTGAACGGAAACTGTTGGCTCTTCTTATACCTCTCCCAACCAGGAAGTCAGAAACAAAAAACCATCCAACATATTTTGAGTGTTTTTGATGAAACTAAGGTAGGAAGATATAATTGTTTGATATATGTGTTAGAGGACTTACTAAACAGATGTATGTCACTTGACAGCATTAAAAAAGTGAAATTCAATGTTAAATTATTTTTTTTTTAAAGTGGTCAACCAAACGGTTGATTTGGCTCTTTATGGTGCTAATGCTAACATAACCTAAATGTTATTAAAATTGATTATTTGCCATAAAATCAGACCATTAGACCCATTTTGTTTATCCATTGCTATTGATAAATAACATTAAGTGTTAGCACAGCAAGATTATGCTGAAATAGTAGTAAGTCATTTTTGTAATTTAATATTGTAAAAATCAAGAATAACGTGGGAATCACAAATATCACAGCTGATTACCTTTTAACCAAATTACAGTAGCTGGTAAATTAATATTAGTAAGTTTTCAAAATTATAATTTTGAACAAGTACTATATGGACGCTAAACAATTATATGGCTAAAAATCACATGGTCCTGTGGCATGATACTCATGATAGCATCCACCTTCAACCACAGTGTGTTTGAGGTCATGGTTTCATATGAAGCCACAAGGGCTGGCAGTCTCCACCAGTATATTGCCAACAAACCAGATGAGTGGGGCTTTAAATTGTTCTGCACAGGAAGTTCATCTGGCATCATCCACGAATTGCTGCTGTATCAAGGGGGGTCTACATTCTTCAATGCTCCCCTGAGTGAAAAGGAACAGAAGCTACCTCTCAGGGGCCACAGTTGTAAGGTTCATGCTTCTTTCATCGGTCAAACGGTGGAGCAAAGAGTCCAATGCAAAGATCACCATTCCATGCCCATCACTCATCCCTGTATATAATTAGCATATGGGAGGAATTAAACTTTCTGATATGCTATTACACCTGTATAAGACAAGTTACAAGTTGAGGAGATGGCATATTCCACTTTTCGGATACATCCTTGACTTGAATCTAGTCTACAAGAGGGACTGTGCTCTACTGGACCAGAAACCGATGGCTCTCAAAAGGTTTCCACCTGGCTGTGTCTGAACCAAGTTAGCAAGCCAGCATCTAGAGTTGGACAACCATGATTCAGCTCTCCAAGACCACAGACTAAATGCTACAGACCCCAAAGACCAAAACAGCAATGTTCACTGGCATGCTACTAGAAATAAACTGAAAAAGAAGATTTATTCATAACACACGTGAACAGACCCAGGAAAACCAAGTTAACGATAAAAACGGTAACAAAATAACGCTAAAAACCCTTAAAAACCCTGAAAACCATACATTTCACACCCGAGCCTCAACTCTCGCGGCCCGGTACCAAACGACTCATGGACCAGTACCGGTCCGTGGCCCAGGGGTTGGGGACCACTGATCTAATGTACCTGTATTTGCATTACATTTCATACTTTTACCATAAAAGGACATCTCAACCGTATGGTAGAGATCAATATTTTAAAAACTACAGGGTCTATTGAAAAAAAACAATTATTGATTGTGGTTATTACTCACCCAAATCAATAAGAAATGCAAACAAAAAAATTCCATTGCTTTTTTCTTGGGTTAAAAGTATTACATTGTTTGCTTGTAATTTTAGTAATGATACAAAGGCAACTCTAAAGGGTTCCTGTCTCTGTGTTTTTATATTTTTGATTTAAGCAGTTAAAACTGATTGCACTCTACTTAGAATTAGTGATAATCTGCGAGCATCATAAATACTATCAAAAACACAGGTTTTTAATATTGAACCATATATCATCCTTATTCATCTTAATCTTGGCTTTGTCCAGCCACTCAGTTTATCCGCTTTTTATGCTTATCTCAGTTTTGATTAGCTGCCCATCACAAGCAAAAAGTTTCAACAGCAGGTGGGAGAGGTCTGATATTGGACAGAGATCACTTTTCTATGACATGACAAAATAAAATTTAACACCTTTACAGGGCCGCTCTCTGATCCGCAGGTATCAGGCGTACCTGCGGTTCCTGAAAAGTACATGAATTAAGGTGTAGAGGTACTCAATGTTGCTCTAGAACAAATGTGTCAAACATAAGGCCCAGGGTCCAGAATTGGCCCAGCAGAGGCACCTATCCAGGTCATTGGACGGCTTTGAAATTTCCAAAGGTCAGCATGAATGTTGTTTTGGAGTTTTTCCTACTGTTAAAGGCCTCACTCGCAGCCACTAGCAATGACAGAATAGTCGTTTTTTTTCACAATCAAAATTTGTTTCCTACAATGAGTCAATATTTGAAGACTAAAACTGTAATTTTACAAATTTTCTCACAATTTAATCTGAAAGAGTTGGGCCAGGTCTTTTTCTTTGCTCCAGTAGCATTTATGATGTAGAAAAACTGAGCCACTGTTGAAATGTACTTTTTCTCATATTAAGATGCTGCAAGATATTAAATGCGTAGTTATTCCTCCTTACTCTGACAGAAAGGAAAGTTTCACTGGTTCATCAAAGTGGTACAGCCCATGAAATAAAAACGGTTTGACAGAGCTGACACAGCAAAAACCTTGGAGGAAGACAGGAAGTGGGTGGGGGGAAAAAAAAATCTGGACACAACATTAAAACCACCTGTTTTAATTTCATAATGGACACAAAAATAATCTACAAAAAGACCAACTCAGATAACCAGATAACCACGAAATATAATTTTTACCCCCCTCATTTAAAATTAAATAAATGTCACCCACTGCTCCAGTCACATGACTTCACAACGACACGCATGGGTTTACATGTCGGGGAAATAACCTCACACATACACACACAGACCAGCAGCACCCCATCAGGAGGAGCTACACAACAATCTTTGGCGTCGTTCTCGGTGCAGCCGGTCAGCCAGACACAAGTGGAGGAGGACAGGGAGCCGGTGGGTGGAGGAGAGACTCAGGAAGAACGGTTTCGTTAACGGAGGTATTCAGCTGAGGGGAGCTTTCACTAGCAGCGTTCAGACAGGGCAAAGCTCGTTTTAGTCTCGGGGTGTCAGCCAACTTTTCACTGTTAGCCTGCTGCCAGTTAGCCTGCTGCCAGTTAGCCTGCTGCCAGTTAGCCTGCTGCC